TGTCCACTCTGATAATTTACAGACGCGGTTTTTAATAAGATTCGCAAAGGTGGTGCAGCCAGCTGGAAGGATGTGGCGTCATGGTAGGATACGGCTGGACAGGCTGCAAGGAAGGCTTAGAAGAAGCCATTAGAAGGCCATTGTCTGCTTGAAAAGGAAGAGCACCAAGAACTAAAATGCGCATGGTGACTTCCTAAAAAGCAGCACCAGCGAGAGGAAGGCTGCAGCAAGAGTTGTCTTGGATAGAAGAAAGTTTAGGCCTGATCCAATGAGATCCTGTCAGGACTAGCGCTCCGGGGATCAATATGGACACGTAAGCAGGCTCAGCACAATTGTGCATGTACATTTCATGAATAGATGCTTATGTGGGCCCACTAGCATCCAAAAATTTGGAAATCTGCACAATAACCAAGGTGGGTGTGGAGCGTCGTTTCCCACTCGAGCGTCGCAATGCGAGTTGGAAGACAGTTCCGATCAAGTGGTCCTCGAAATGCCTCCGTGCATTTGGTATCGTTGTCCTCATTCGCAGAGAATATACTCTCCTCATCATTACGGACTGTCGGGGCGTGTCAGCCAGTAGGAGTGCGCACACTGTTTGAAGCCGTTCTCAGCCTTTTCGTTGAAACGCGTATGCGACAAAAAGTGGTAGAAAACGAGTAATACGAAGGATATAATACAGTAATGTCACTTCCTGGTTCAACGATTGGTGCAGAACGGGCGCGGACGACCGCGCCAAACGCAGCCGCACTGACCCGCCCCGACAGTCCGTAATGATGAGGAGAGTACCACTTTCGTCACTCGAAACGGCGAGATAAAGAAGCTAGAGACGCGTGATTATTGCAACCATTGCAACCACGATTACTTTCACTCTGCAAGACAACGGCTTACAAGCGGAATTGCGTGTGTACATAGCGTTGCCTGGGAGACTATATTCTCTGCGAATGAGGACAACGATACCAAATGCACGGAGGCATTTCGAGGACCACTTGATCGGAACTGTCTCCAACTCGCATTGCGACGCTCGAGTGGGAAACGACGCTCCACACCCACCTTGGTTATTGTGCAGATTTCCAAATTTTTGGATGCTAGTGGGCCCACATAAGCATCTATTCATGAAATGTACATGCACAATTGTGCTGAGCCTGCTTACGTGTCCATATTGATCCCCGGAGCGCTAGTCCTGACAGGATCTCATTGGATCAGGCCTAAACTTTCTTCTATCCAAGACAACTCTTGCTGCAGCCTTCCTCTCGCTGGTGCTGCTTTTTAGGAAGTCACCATGCGCATTTTAGTTCTTGGTGCTCTTCCTTTTCAAGCAGACAATGGCCTTCTAATGGCTTCTTCTAAGCCTTCCTTGCAGCCTGTCCAGCCGTATCCTACCATGACGCCACATCCTTCCAGCTGGCTGCACCACCTTTGCGAATCTTATTAAAAACCGCGTCTGTAAATTATCAGAGTGGACAAGATTGCTTGCCGCACGGGATTTAAACGAACTTTCTTCCACTTCACTCATGTCGCATTCTTTCGGGCTTTCATGCTTCTCCGCCTACGCTCTCAAGAACGCAAACAAATCACTTCGCGACGACCAAGCCTTCCACTAACCTGTGGGCAATCGCAACAACCTTGAATCGAAAAGCTGTCCATCAACAAACATGCTGCTAAGGGTCTAACGGCTCCACCCCAAACCAGGAAAATTTGATCTCCTGCTAACCACAATTTTTGTGACGCTATTACCAAAACTGGGCAAGCAAAACACACATTCTCATTATTTTGTAAAAAAAAACGGAAGTGACGTTTATAAGCTCATTATGACAACGATGAAAGATCAATGTACACCAAAAATGGAGACGACAGGATAAACAACAATCCAAAAGTCTCGATTGTTGCCTAGAAGCATTTTGCGGTGAACAATGGAAGGGCCAGACTCGTCGTATTCTTGCTTGGAGATCCACATTTGTTGGAAGGTGGATAGAGATGCCAAAATTGATCCTCCAATCCAAACAGAGTACTTGCGCTCAGGGGGTGCGATGATCTTGATCTTCATCGTGCTGCAAAAAGCATTTTGAAATACCAAATCTCGGCAGGTCGAAGTCAAATTCAAGAAAGCCACTCCGATTGTATACTGGTCTAACCTAGGTGCGAGAGCTGTAATTTCCTTCTGCATACGATCAGCAATACCAGGGTACATGGTTGTTCCTCCAGAAAGAACGGTGTTGGCATACAAGTCTTTACGGATATCGATATCGCACTTCATGATTGAGTTGTATGAGTTTCATGAATACCAGCAGATTCCATGCCCAGGAATGAAGGCTGAAAAAGTCTGTGTGTGTCTAGAAAACCTGACTACTCAAATAAAACTCAATAAACTTACCTGGAAAAGCGCTTCAGGACAGCGGAATCGCTCGTTTCCAACAGTGATGACTTGACCGTCAGGAAGTTCATAGGACTTCTCGAGAGATGAGGATGAGGCGGCGGTAGCCATCTCTTGTTCGAAGTCGAGGGCGACGTAGCAGAGCTTCTCCTGAAGGGACCCGAGTCATTAGTCTGGTTCTTTAATGATGGCATCCCAACAGTTTCGTACCTTGATATCTCTGACAATTTCACGCTCGGCCGTGGTTGTGAACGAGTAACCACGCTCAGTGAGGATCTTCATCAAGTAATCAGTAAGATCACGTCCGGCAAGATCAAGACGGAGAATGGCGTGGGGAAGGGCATAACCCTAAAAGCAAGAGTTCTCTTTCTGCTTACAAATCATTGTCCCTTAAGTCTTACCTCATAGATGGGGACAGTGTGGGTGACACCATCTCCAGAGTCGAGGACGACTCCAGTGGTACGTCCGGAGGCGTAGAGGGAGAGCACAGCCTGGATAGCGACGTACATGGCGGGGGTGTTGAAGGTCTCGAACATGATCTGGGTCATCTTTTCTCTGTTGGCCTTGGGGTTAAGAGGAGCTTCAGTCAGGAGGACGGGGTGCTCTTCTGGGGCAACACGAAGCTCATTGTAGAAGGTGTGGTGCCAGATCTTCTCCATGTCATCCCAGTTGGTGACGATACCGTGCTCAATGGGGTACTTCAAGGTAAGGATACCTGAAATAGGGGAATTCATCAGCCACTCTCCTATGTTGAATCGACATTGCGTCACCAACCTCTCTTTGACTGAGCCTCGTCTCCTACGTACGAGTCCTTCTGTCCCATACCAACCATGACACCCTGGTGACGGGGTCGGCCGACGATGGAGGGGAAGACAGCTCGAGGAGCGTCATCTCCGGCGAATCCGGCCTTGCACATTCCGGATCCATTGTCAACCACAAGAGCAGCTACCTCGTCGTTCGCACGTCTTCGAAATAAATAATATCCTACTCTATATAATCGGCTAAGTATGTCTGTAAGTGTGTGTGTGTGTGTGTGTGTGTATGTTTGTGTGCGTCTGTCTGTGTCACGAAATTCATAGCGAGCGTCGCAGAAAAGATAGGACGACAGTTCCAAGAAGTGATATACATGGCAGGACGGGAACACTTTTGGTGGGTGATAGAATGTGATAGCACCTGATAAGATTCGATAAGGGGCCTTAGAAGGGAGGGTGACCGAGCCCATAGTGCGGGACACAGTAACAGTGGGACATTGGTTCCAAGGTATGATATAGGACGTGGGACAGGAACATTATTGATGGGTGACAGGGAATGATAGCAGCTGATAAGATCCGTCAAGAGGCGTCAGAGTCGCCATACCCATAACGTGGAACACAGCATCAACTGGGCATTAATTTCAGAAAATGATATAGAGTTGGAGATGGGGACACGGCACGTGAGGTGATAACAGCTGATAGGGGCTGATAAGGAACAATGCTGTTCAGTCAAATTGCTGGAGCCTTTACACTACCAAATTATAGAGTTTTAGTGATAGGGACATTGATGACCGGTGACAGGATCTTATCAATTGATAAGAAAGGATAAGGGGCCATTATCACTAACCTCTTATCACTATACCCCAAGTATCAGAGGCTCAGTGTGCATACTTTTCCTTTAGCCATCACTTCCCTGATAGCCCTAGAGAATGAACTCATCCTACTATATAATGTCGATGTCGACGAGCGGGGGGGGGGGTATGTAGTTCGCCTGAAACAGGAATCTCAGGGAAAATTCGAGGAGAACCGAAAAACACTTCAACAAGCGGATCATTTATGTATTCTATGGGCGTCATGGCGCGGGCTACACCGCTGCTGTAAATGCTGGGTTGTACGGGATCCTGAAGCCTTGCTCTGTCTGTTACGATTCGATCACTACAGCGCCTTATGAGCAGTGCACTACCGAAAAAGTTCCGTTAAAATTATGGAGCCGCCTGGCAAAGCCAGGCCAGCTCGGCGAAGCCGAGCTCAAGAGAAGGAGGAGAGCACGGCGTCAGCCGTGCGATCCGACTGGTAATAATATAATGAAACAAAAAGTGCAGAACAGACTTGCAGGATATACAAGCGAAACAATCTAATTTCCGAAATTCTCTTGTGGAAAGTCCCTCAGTTATCATAACTTCGCGAAATCAATCGAAGAAGAGGAGGGAGAGCCGCCAAGAATAGATCTCGGCAGCTGTCACATCGATCATCGACTGCCCCGATATCTCATAGTAGAGCAGAACAACAAAGGCTGGCATAATGTAAAAACACTATGAGGAGATGTAGTAAGTTGCACAAAAAGCTGAAGGCTTCTAAAAGAGCTGTCAAGGAAAAGTGAAGAACAAAAGAAAAACCGCGGCTTGTTTGAAGATTAAGGTTGATAGAGTGCAGCGAGAACTGCAAGGAGATCGAAGATGGTAAAACTTGAATTTAAAAAAAAAAATGGCAAGTAATAAGAAAGCGAGGGCGGTTGGGGTGCCGCAGCTGATGCAAGTTTACACTGTGCGGGGGTGCGGGCTGAAGATTACGCCAAGTCTTTGAAGGGAAAATCCTCTTCACCTCACGACGAGGCGGAGGTGGTGTAGTGACAAGTGGCGCGCTTACCACTCGCGCGGCGCCGGGTTCGAATCCCGGGTCGACACCCGCCCAGGCCAACCAAGCCTTCTACCCTCCGGGGACGGTAAATTGGTACCAGATTCGTCTGGGAGGATAAAACACTGACTTGTACATCGGCTGGCCACCGCAAGTCATTGTATAGGCCACATCGCATTCAATAAGCCACTACGATTCTGAATGGAAGTAGAATGCGTGCCGCATCCCACAAAGGGATTGATCAACGGCGAAGACTTTATCCTTTATCCTTTATGATCATTTGCGCCCTAATTAGAGCATGTATGAATAAATGCCAAACATATGCGTAGCGCAGTACGTGTCAGCAAGCTGTCCTGTGTGAATGTGAACTGCCAGCGAAATGCCATTGATGCCTACAGGACATGCTGAATCAACAAAAATATTTGGAGTCGTACCGCTTTTGTTGAGTGGCCTCGACAAGAACAAGGGACAAAGGCGTTTTTAAGCTGTAGGAAGCACTGATAGTATTAGGTTGTCCGGAAAGTTCTCAGCGTTTGTTACTATTTTTTGTACATTCATTGCTGATTAAAAACTCATTCTCCCTTGCGTCTCAGTAGTACATCCTGAAGAGAATTCTTTGCGCTATCTGATGGTATAATTGCCGTTTCACCATTGCTTGTCGAGACAGATAGTCGAGACAGCTCGAAAAATTAACAGGTGTGGGGGCCCAATAGTGCTAGAGAAAGCACTGTGCGGCAATGGTTCGACAAATTTCGTTCTGGAGATTTCAGCCTTGAAGATGAACCTCGTAGCGGTCGACCTAAAGCAATACCTGACGAGGATTTGAAGGCGTTTGTGGAGGCTGACCCATCCCAAACAGTTCGAGAGATTGCAGAAAAGCTAGGCGTTGGCAAATCCACTGTTGCGGATGGTCTGAAACGCATTGGGAAGGTGAAAAAACTCGACAAGTGGGTGCCCCACAATTTGAGTGACCGGCAGAAATTGGCACGTCTCGAGGTTTCTTCTTCACTGCTTTTGCGCAACAGAAACGACCCGTTTTTGGACCGAATTGTCACCTGTGATGAAAAGTGGATCATGTATGATAACAGGAGACGTTCCGGACAGTGGTTGGCCGACGAACCACCGAGGCAATTTCCAAAGCCGAATCCTCACGAAAAAAGATTCTGGTCACGGTTTGGTGGTCATCGGCTGGTGTGATCCACTATAACTTTTTATCACCAGGCCAAACCATCACAGCAGAACCCTACTGTGAAGAAATCGACGAATGTACCGAAAATTTCCGATTCTTTTGCATGACAACGCCCGCCCACACGTTTCACAAATCACTATCCATAAATTGAACGAATTGGGGGTTGAAGTTCTACCTCACCCGCCATATTCTCCAGACCTTTCACCAACCGACTATCACCTTTTCAAACATTTTCAGAACTTCCTTGCTGGAAAATACTTCATCAATCAGGACCAGGCAAAAAAGCCTTCGTAGATTTCGTGGATTCTCGACCACCCAGTTTTTTTCTTTGATGGGATTTATCGACTGGTGTCACATTGGCAAAAGTGTGCTGATTCGAACGGTGCTTATTTGGATTAAATCCGATGAGTATTAAGAAAGTTATGATCGTTTAAAGTGAAACACTCAAAACGCTGAGAACTTTCCGGACAACCTAATAATAGTCATCAATATTAGCGATGACTGTACGATAATCTCATTTTCTGCTGAAAATTGTTCTTCAACAGACCTTTCATCTCGTCTTTCCCTTGCTGCACCCTCTAGGCTTGTTTGATTGAGCTTTCGGCTCAAGCTCAGGCTGAAGCAACATTTATTTCAAAATGTGTTGTGAATGTGGCGTTTCGGAAGTTCAGCAGCTGAATTCTCACCTCCCACAATACAGCATCCTTCCCCCGTGTTCTTTTTTCTCTTCCAAAAACTTAGAGCGAAACGGTGGATTCCGTCGGCGTGGGCTTCATATGTCAAAGAGAATTTAGAGTAGAAAAAAGTGTGTGAACAACGATGATTGCGTTTACCGCAGAAGTGCTGCAAAAGGGATGGGATTTTCCGGCTACATACTGAAAGGTCATTGGATTTTTCGATATGATTGGTTTTCTGATGGGTTCTGAAAACGTTCAACATATTTTTGGGAACGATGATGGCCTCAAAAATGTACAAAAATGGATGCCGTGTTCGTGATCAGGCCCTTCGATGTTTTCCTCTGAGTGTGTTATTGTTGAACTTGTGCGAAAGTAGTAGTTCTAAATTGGTACCGCTACGGTTCTGGCGCCAAACGGAGCTGGCACCAAAAATTAGTGTCGCGTTTGCCGTTATTACGACACGTCGTATGAGTCCTGGTGGAAGGAAGTTTGGCGCTAAATGAATCCAGCGATGAAAAAGGTTCCATTCTCGCAGTTTCAATTTCAGGAAATGTTTTTTTTTTAATTTTCAGGTAGTGGAAGCTTGAGTAATACCAGACTTTTTATGACAGGTATGACATCATTGGTTGAAAAAGCCGTCCTGGCCGCGGTCCAGCCAACGCCCCGTCCTACGCCCCATCGCCGAAAAAGTCACGAAATAGCATCCCTGTGGCATACAAAGTTTCTGAAACTTTGGGTTGCTAAATTGATTACCAGAATTCTAGTTCTTGTTCTGAAGCTGTGTTGCTTTTGATGTAAGCCACCATGATTTCTAGATTTAATGATAGGAACGTTGGTGACGAGAAGTGAGATTAGAGTATACTCGATGTTGATTATGGCGTTCCAAAAAAATGTTATTTGGGAGAAAAAAAATCAGGAATGCAGGAAAAAAACAGATGGGGGGGGGTCAGCAGTGCAGTGTAACATATTTTGATACGAGACCATTCAAATTATTCTGTTATTGGGTAATTTAGCGGTGAGGAAGGAATTCAAATCATTTCAATAGGTAGCGACACTCCCTGAGGGTGTAAATACAAAATTTCATTTAGTTATCATCAGTGCTATTCTAGTTATCCTTGGTGAAGAAGACCAGAATGACTGATGCGACAATGTTGAGAAAATGATTACTGATTAAAAAAATTTAGAAAAATGAAAAGAAAATCGAAATCTAGAAATTAATGATTGCCTCTTGTTCCCCAACCCAAAAGAAGATCTTCGTAGAAAGCGTCTTTCTGACGATGAAGAGCTGAAGGCGGCAATACGCACATTTTGGAGACAAGGAGGAAAAATATTTTCCAGAGGGTATTGAAAAGTTAGTTTCCCGAGCAAACAAGTGTATTGAGGTTATGGGGATCTACATTGAAAAATAAATTTTATTCAGAATTTTCTGCCTTTTCCTTCATACCTGAGGAGAATACATTGAACACCCCTCGTAAGCTTTGTAATTCTCCCGCATGATGCGACATTTTGTATTGCTCGCTTCTAAGATCTGAAATTTTATGTTCTCTTTCCAGATCCTTCACCAATGCATCCCCACCCATCGGCCTTGAGCCTATTCTGCAAGGTACTCGTAAGCACCTTAGCATAAGCATCAAAGGTGCAGAATAATTACCACGTTTCAGAATCGTCAGTTCCTCCACCTCCACCTGATCCTCCGGTGTCACAACTCTCACCGATAGCATCAGGTGTTATTTTTGGACCTATTGTCACAATTTCTAGTTTTTCGCTTCCTACGAACCTGTTATGTGCTGAAGAAATGAAGGGTGATGGCGTTTACAGATAGCTTCCCCAGCAGTCCTGCGCTTCCAGTGGCTCCTAAAGCTGTACCGGAGATACTCGATAATATCACAGGTTTGGATTTTTTCCTAAATAAGAACTATTTAGCTGAGCCTATCTGAGATTATACTTATTTATTATCCACTATCTGTATTAAATCTGCTGTTGAGCTATTATTATCGCTCTTTCTTAGGTATAAAAGTATCTAATGTCTGGTTCTGCTGCTCTGAATCGTTTCCTATAGAATACTTTTTGAATTCATCCTGGAAGTTTTCACTTTTTATTACAGTTCAACTACTGTTTAAAATTATTTTTTGAACGTTTTTACAAATGTGACGCAGGTGCCACCGTGTAGTACCTTTACAAAAAGAGCTTATATGCCCGACTTTTCAATTGTTGATGGTTCGCAGAAGATATCGGGATTTCCCATAGTATGGAGTACGACTTCTGAAGGTTCCTGGAAAATCTGCAAAGCTAGCCACTAAACCCTTTGCCAGCTTCTTGAAGCATGAAGGATGAAGCAAGTTTACACAGTTTGAATTTCCATCAATCACTTGGGATAATCCTATGCTTACTATCTTTCATGCGCAGTAGTCTTGTGCATTGAATCACCACGACCTATAGAATGCTTTGCGGGGACCAGGCGATGTGGAAGCTGTTTTTTTTTAATCTCACAAGCAGCTGTGGTACTAGTCAGCGAACACCAGAAAATGAGGCCTTGTACTTCACTAATGAACAACAAGTCGTTAGCAACAGCATTATTTTAATACAGATATTGAATAATAAATAAGTATAATTTCAGATAGGCTCAGCTAAATAGTTTCTTATTTAGGAAAAAAATCCAAACCTGTGATATTGTCGAGTATCTCCGGTACAGCTTTAGGAGCCACTGGAAGCGCAGGACTGTTGGGGAAGCTATCTGTTAAACGCCATCACCCTTCATTTCTTCAGCACATAACAGGTTCGTAGGAAGCGAAAAACTAGAAACTGTGACAATAGGTCCAAAAATAACACCTGATGCTATCGGTGAGCCTTGTGACACCGGAAGATCAGGTGGAGGTGGTGGAACTGAAACGTGGTAATTATTCTGCACCTTTGATGCTTATGCTAAGGTGCTTACGAGTACCTTGCAGAATAGGCTCAAGGCCGATGGGTGGGGGATGCATTGGTGAAGGATCTGGAAAGAGAACATGAAATTCTAGAATCTTAGAAGCGAGCAATTTAAAATGATTGCATTATTCGAAGAAAAGCTCACCCGCCGGCTTAGAAGCTTTGACGGGAGAAGCGACGGTTACAAATGACATTGAGTAAGATTGGCACTTTCCTGAGCGGACAGGGGTAGGCAATGGAGTGGTAGGACTTTCGTTGGCTGCTTGTTCTTGAGCAGCCGCCGGATGATCTCCTTGGGAGGCATCTAGAAAGCACGAAATTTGTCCATATCTCCTATTTCACCAAAAATCACAACTCGTATTCCTCACTGGGTATGACTTGTGGAACGATCTCTGGAGGCACAATTCTTTCATTGGGTGGAATAAAGGCAAGGCGAGTGGCACGATGGCGAGAAACGGACCTGAAAAGGAAGCTGCGTACTTGTAAATTGAAACTGTAAAAAATGAAACATTCTATGAGCAAAGGCAATAGTTCTCGAGAATCTGATATCAATATCGGTACTTTCATTATTTCTGACAAGCCAGCTGGCGCGCACTGTCGCATCATGCGGGAGAATTACAAAGCTTACGAGGGGTGTTCAGTGTATTCTCCTCATGTATGAAGGAAAAGGCAGGAATTCGGAATAAAAATCATGTTTCAATGT